TTTCCCTTATTGCTTCCATTCTTTTTTAATTTTTTTATGGTGGTTTCTGCAGTAATTTAGTTCAGTTTCCTTCCTCTGTTTTTTTCACTAATGTTTTTGGTAAAATGCTGCTACATGAATTTGAACACCTTTATAAAGTTATGAATCATATCACGCCATTTTACTATTTATTTAAAAAAAAGATTAATGCCTTAGTAGATCCAAGCAGACCAGTGGCACTGACAAGAGTTTCTTTCCATACGACATATGTAGCTCATGAGAAAAATGCCCTCTGCAATTTTGTGAAATATCTTTGATGAATAAGGTCAGTGATGGAACTTAGTAAAGTAAGAATGAACTTCAACACTTGTGACAACTACATGAACAGGAAATTGTTTACTAGTAAAGGATATGGAAACCATGATAATTACTGACTGAAGATGTTAAAACCAAGATGCCAAAATTTTATGTGTTTGCCAATTAGCTTCCCTCAAAAGTTCTTCCTAGATTAAACATCCTTCCTTAACTCATTTGTTAGTATCATGAGGCACACGTGACAATTGACAGTTTTCGTATTTATTTGTGGGCACACCTTTACTATGTCTTTGGATTTCTGGAAATAGCTACCTACACAAGTGGTGGATTGTAATTCTGAGTTTATGTTTTCATACGATATTTCATTACCGATTCTAAGGAATTTCTATCTTTTCTGTAGTTTTGTTGTAATGAGGGAAATAACTATCAAGGTAGTAGAACTAGGGCAGGCTGAAGAAGTGAGCATGTTGCGAATGCTAATGATTTCCTTTATTTTCGGTTGCTGCATAGCCTGAAATCCTATATCTTTTTTCCTTTTCTCTCTCTTAATTTATGATATTACAAATTTCCATATTTTCCAATTTGAGAGAAAGAAAAACTAATTATCATTGCAGGTGTACCACTCTAGTTTTGTTGACGATGAAGAAATTACTAAAGCATGTGGCTGTCCTCTACTTCCCTTGAAAAGCCACATAAAAGGACCAGCTCCAGTTTCAGAACAAGGTCAGAATCACTCTTGATATGTCAATCTATATTTAGGAAAAGGGGAGTGATTTAGTAAAATAGAAATATATTTTGCTGCCAAACTTAATACTAAAGGGAAATTCTAAGGTGCAGTTGCTACTTTTAACGGCACCATTCCCTTCATTTTCCGCCAATAAAATTACGCCGCATCACATGATAAGTATGCACATTATGTATATTATAATTTACAATTAAAAGTTGATTGTCTTATACTATTGTGTCATCTTATTTATTTATTTGTTAATTTAGTTACATTTTTACATTTATACTACATGTATAAACATTAAAAGTTGTGTATCTTATTTAGTAAAAAATAACTAAAGTACATCGAAATATATTAACAAAATTTATAGCATCTAATTTGATGAAAGCTGTATTTCACGATGTATATAAAATATTTTAGTATATTATCATAGAACAATTTGATTTAATTTAGGTGTTTTTAGACATATTTTTATGAATATTTCAGAAAATCTTAGGTGATTTCACACATTTTCCCAAAATAATGGAACATTTTAGATATTTTTACATGTGTAATATAATACTTTAGCTTTTTTTTTTCAAAATAATTGAACATTTTAGATATTTTTACAGGTGTTATACAATACTTCATATATATATATATATATATAGTTCTTTACTTAAGTTACTTTTCGTATAAAATGGTAAATTGTATAACTGGCTAACCCATATTTTTAATTATAAATATTATTTAGTAGAAAATTGTATTAGTGGTTACCCATATTGTTAATTATAAATAATATTTAGTATTTATTTGACATCTTTAATTTATAAATATTATTTTACTTGGCAACGATTTCTAGAGTCCGCATTATCTATGCTGGTCTACGTGGAGTTAAAATGCAACTTTCTGTCTATCTAAACGGTAAGAAACTGTAGCCATCCCAATATTAAAAATAGAAGGTTAAAAACTTATTTGTGTGGCAAAATTTAATTGTATATTTGATTTGATATTTCTGCTCAAGTTTCTTTTCATTTATTTGATACTCGTACTTGTGCAAATGATTGATTAAATATTTGCTAAGTTGATATATTTTTAGATTTATTTCCTTATGTTGTATCATATTATAAATATGAGGATATAATCAAATTAAATATATTTGCAATCGATTGATTAAATATTTGCTAAGTTGATATATTGTTAGATTTTTTTCCTTATGTTGTATCATATATTATAAATATGAGGATACAACCAAATTAAATATATCAACATATGTTGGAAATTATAATAATTTGATGAGAGGTGGTATGAATTTACAATACAATGCTTATCAGTTCAACATACACATTTTATATTTTATTATATTACTATTTTGTTGAAACATTATTTATTTACATTTTTAAAGATTTTTTACTTATATTTAATTTCATTATTATTATTATTATTATTATTATTATTATTATTTTATTTTTTTTTGTCTGTATATTGAAATTATAAACACTGTACTAACTAATTTTCTTTTATTTTAACATATAATCCTTGCATCGCACGACATGCTAGTTTAAAATAAGCTGAAAAGTTATTTTGTATGGGCATACATGATAGTTTCAATTAACTGACACGTTATTCAACATCAATGTGTATGTATGCAGAAAGCACGGACATTGTGGATGAAGCAATCACATTCTTTCGAGCCAACGTGTTCTTTAGAAACTTTGACATCAAGAGTTCAGCTGACAAGCTTCTTATCTACTTAACATTTTATATAAATATTGCTTTAAAGAGGCTTGAAGGCTGCAGAACCTTAGCTGAAGGAACCAAAGCAATTATTAATCTAGGGTTAGAAAAGGTGCCCGTACCTGGAGAGCATGGATTCCCTTTTCCGGGACTGTTTGCCAATCCGCAATCTCAACAAGAAGCAGGTAAAATGCTGTTAGACATGTTCGACGAGGAAAATAAAGTGTTTATTAAGTGTGCAAATTGGATGTCTTTTGTTTTTATTATGCTTGATGTAAGATGAAGCCTGCTGCTTTTTTGTTCCTATTTCAACTTTATGAAAACATGAATATGCGATCGTCTGTTCAGGATTGTCTACTGATGTATTTATCTTTTTTTTTTTTTTTTTCTTTCTTATGGGATCTTTTTTCTCATGAAACCTAGAATGATTATTAATATCATTAACATTTTTTTACCATACATGTTTAGGATTATTATATATGTGATTAATTTTACGGGGAAATTAAATTATTATACAGTTAATTTACTTAGGTTTCTTGGTTTATGCAGAGCTCTTTAGAAATTACTTGAAACAGATTCGTGAGGAAACCAGTGGAAGATTATTGAGCGTGACATATCGATCTAATGGAACTCCAAACAAATGGTGGCTTGCATTTGCAAAGAGGAAATTTATGAACATCATTATACCTTGAGGTATTTGTTTCTTCAGTTCAAACACATTATACAACAGCTATTGGCTACCTTTGACTTGACAACGACCGTTTTTTGGAATAAAACCACTACAGTACTCTTTGTTCATGTTTAATGCCCCTGGTGCTTATATGTTTCCCTAGCTGATTAAAAAATTAGAGCTTGATTGAGATGTAATTAAAAGTACAAATGGTTATGTTGCATACCTCTATAAATATGTATGTGTTTGTTGTTCATTGAACATTATTAACAACTTTTTCAGGCATTTGTCTTTGTTAATTTCCTGTCTATTTTGTACCTTAAAGCTCCTCTCCAGACAAAGCATAGTTAATTTCTTTCTTGTTAGGTTGCTATTTGGATTTGTATGGTGGATTTGGCGAGGCAAACCTCTAAGTGAAAAAAAAAAAAAAAACAGGAATTATATGGGGTTTGGATGAATTCAGCTGCAATTTCCATATAATTCAGTATTCGACTAAAAATATTTTATGCTAACCATATACTGAATGATCTGGTGTAAGAAATTCTCGCGTTTTTCTCTTTTAATAATAATAATAATGTTTCATGTTTTTGCTTTCGTCAATGCAGATAAATAAAATATGTATATGCATCGAGCAATAATTATTAGTTTGATTGATTTCAGTTCATCTTTCATATGCAATTTCAGTGTTTTTCCGAATAGTTAAATCCCAAAATTGCAGTTTTATTCAGTAAACCAAAATATTTTACTGTTTTCCTCTGAAAATTCTTAATAAATGCCGAATAAGATGTGATTTATCAAAAGTATCTTGTCTAATTTGTGATTAAAAAAATCTTCAGTGTATGGTATTTGGTTAAACTATATGAAAAAAAAAAAAGATATAGTAATGATTGATTTTCAACCTAAAATTATATGATTAAATTGAAGAGAGGTAAAGTGAGATGGTGAAAAGTGTGTTTATTTTACTGGATGGATGAAAAATGCTACCATATTGTTATCCAATATTGCATTTAAAGTTCAAAATTCCAAGAATCCAAATTACCCAAAATGGCAAGTAAAAGTAAAACTTCCAAAGTAATCTGGGTTGATTGTCAACACAGAGCTAATACTCTGACCGCCAAAGCCAAATGATAAAGCCCCAAAATCTGCAGCAGTTACATTATTCCAAGCGCAAGTATAATCATAGCTGCTGAGTTCATTGCAAAAATCTATCTGTTGACGAATAACGTAATCACTAATCTCTCAAAACTATTTAAAACATTATCGGAATTGGGTACATTAGCAAAGACATAATAATGCAGTAGTGAAAGGGAAATACAAAACATGTAGTACGATGAGAGAATAGAGTCATAAACTACACTATGATTAGGAGGATTGCTGGTATCATCTTTTAGGGTGACTTCATTTGCCATCAGTAACAGGAAGATACACGCCCTCAGCTGCCAACCAGACATTATCAGCTCGTTTTTCACGTACACCACAAACCTGCAATGGAAAAGCAAAGAGTGTTGTGTGAAAATTGTTGCGAGCTTTTGTACTAAATCATGTCCCTTAGTACTTTTCGCCTTTTAGTTACTCGGTCCATTATTACCTCTTGCTGGCCCCCGGCAATACGAGTGTACTTCTTGTCATGACTGTGCAGGTACCCGCCAGTGTCCACATGGCGAAGCCGGATCCTTTGATCTTGCCTCCAAGTCTTTCCACTTCCTTCAATTTCGAGCCTGAAAAGTACAAGAGAAGATTTGAGTCTCGACTGAAAGGAGAGGTCAATTACATCGAACGAACATACAAACTTTTCGAAGTGACGTCATAGAAGTAGCGAGCGAAGTGAGGTTAGGTATCGATCACGATCTGACTATACCAATTTTCCAAAGGATTGCGAATATATGAATCACGGAATTGTTTTACATTACGTCATATTCAAGAAGGCGTCATATTCAAGAAGGCTCGTAAAATGTCTCACCTCCAGTAATCCCCAGTGTCAGAGTCCACATCACTCCCAAAGCAACTAACCTGTAATTATTTTTATTTTTGATATATCATAACAATAACCAAACAGAATGCAAAACGAGCCCAAGTAGTCCAATTTGGCAACAAATTTCCAAACTTGAATGAGAGCATTATTATCATACATAATGATGACACAGATATCGACAGAATCTTTCTAGTGTTGCAACATACGGTTCATAATTTGCAGTCGGGAGCAGAGAGACTTTTACTCTCCCTTGATCTACCCGGTCATTATTATTAATAACACATAAAAAGTTCCAATTTTCATGTTATGTATCTGCTGAGGGAGGAATAGTGTATTCCCATGCACAAGGTGTACTACTAATTAAAATATGTTATTATAGCATAAGAAATAAGATGCACACACAAAAAGCAACATGGAATGGAAAATAACACAGTTCTTTGAATGAACTTTCGGGATGGTAACTCGTTTAGTGTGTTGATCACTTGATTATGTTCATAATTATCACAACTACCAAAGGTAAAGAAAAAAAATGTCCTACACCAAGAGATACTCCTGCTTGAGTAAATATAGCCATATTTCTTAAAACAAAGCAGATATCAACTGCAGCCCGCATATGGCGTAGAATTTCGTCTCTGTAGAGTGTTTTATAGTCTTACTCTTAGAAATAGAACTAGTATCTGAAGAACTTAAGATTTCAAGGGCTGACTTAATCTGCAGTTATTATTCCTCGTGAACGAACTTCTGTAGACTCTGCAATATGGCTAAAGCCATACTCAACCAGAAAGTAATAAACTAGGTTTAATGGAACATGAACGTAGTGAATTTAAAGTTAGAGACTGTCTTGAGGAGTTCAAGAAAACGGAAGTGACAAAACGGGGAAACAATAATTGAAGGTTTATTGTAAACACTAGTGCACAAAAGTTGTTAATACTGCTTGGATTAGGCATACTAAGAACCATTGTAGAGTCAACACAGCTGTCCCAGAATTTCAGGGACTGCAGTTCCATAAAATGACTTAAGAGGATTAAGGAAGACAAGGCTTAAGTCATAAACCGTTGAAATAACATCAAATCACATTACTTTATACTAGGAAACATCTTTGAATAGCACACAACAAAAGAATCAGAATCCAGAAAAGTAAAAATACTAAAAAATGAACCAATATTTGCACCTTTAAAACTGTAAGTGTGCAAAGAGTACAAGTGTCTAATGACCATATTATACTAAATGAATCACTTTTAGCTCTATAACCGTAAGTACATACAAGGTCCACACCTAAATGATGCTTTCAAGCAATAGAAAATATCTGCCAAAACTTAATATATGCACACTAACCTCCAAATTGCCAGATATAGGAGATGCATGCAGGTGGCTGTGCAGCCATTTCCTAGTCCTCATATGTTGCAGCCGAACAAGCTCTCCAGTTTTGATTGCATCGCCTTGCTTTGCAGATGAATCTGCTGTAGGCTTTACAACCTGCCAAAATAATAACATTTCCAATAATGAGTTACGACAAACTGTGAGAGATACTTTAAAAAAAAAAAAGACCAAGGGATGTATCATTAGCTTACCCAGTAGCTATTAGAATCATCAACATTAGGAAATCCAGTCACAGACTGCTGGCCACTGCCAGAGCCATAAGGTACATCATGCGAGTGGAGACGAACTTTTGTTTTCTCGTGCATCAGCTTGATAACAGAACCATATGTTATCTGCAAAAGGTTTGAGAAAATTATAATTGTTTGATGGCACCACAACTAGAGGCAGAACAAACAACATAATGTCTCCCACATCACTTTATCTACTACACATCCCTAGTTGAAATTATAGATGCAAAATGATGCCGAACAGATTTAGATGGTTTAAACATCACCATTCTAAATATTTCTTAGATACTAATTACTAACCAATCGTAAAACTTCATCAATTTCTTCTAGATCACATTGTTTCCTTCTTCATCATGTATTCTATCACCTAGACAGTAAAATATATATGAATGCCATCTGAGATTTCAACTGAGAACACCACAACAAAAGTTTCTTTTAGTAAAACAAAATCCACCCATCGAAACTTCAACACAACACTTCGAAACAAGGTCCTAATTCTTCCCACATTAAATCACCATTCACTATGTTCACCGTTAATCTAAAGGAATTTTAATCTATAACACAAGATTTCCCACTCAGTAAATAAGTTTCATCGCAAATTGCCTTCAAAAGGAAAATTGCATATTAATCCCAACAACTTCCAAGGCACATCAAAAACCAACCTACAGTTACAGATTCATCTATCCAAAACCGACTCACGACAATCAATTAACAGCGATCACTTGCCTGAACTCCTTCGGACGCCGCTGAAACCGGAGTCGACGCATAATCTGAGTCCAGCGTGAGCAGCAGGAAAATCGCGAGACCGAAAAACGAGACAGCCATCACCAGCAACAGGACTATGAACCAAGTGCTCTGCCAAAACGGCAGTTTCAGATCCGAATCGGATGTGCGGCCGACGGACTCTCTGTACACAAATCGGGTCGGACCCGATGCGGCGGACAAGGCGGACGCCGGGGCGGATTTCCTACGCGTGAGGTTGCTCTGTTGATGCGAGGGAGCCACGGTTGGAACTTGTACGCCGGTGCCGGAGCTCCGATGATATCCGATCAATTGCCGATTTTGAGAATTTATCGATCAAGCTGCCAGAAAATATGGTCACATTCCCATTTGCTTGCGTCGTCAATGGGTCATGTTCTAATTGATGTTTTGGGGTTCCACGTGTTTTGAACTAACACTGCGAATTACATTATGACACGTGGATACATGTTGACGTGGGATATTTTGAATGGTAAATATGTATGACTTTGATTTAGTTTATTATACTTAATTTAATTCCCATAATTAATATAGTTTGAAATATAATCTATACTCTACAGGGCACTTAATATATCGAACCTTTTCGAATATTGAATTAAAACATATTTTGACCGTTTTACTTTTTCTAATAATTGAATTTAACAAAAAAAAAAAAAATAAGTGCCATACTTCTGAAATTTTTGTAAATTTGTACTTTTTTTTTTTCGATTACAATAACACTAGTACAACACCCGTGTATTACACGGGTGCTTGCTAATTTTTTTCTTAAAATCTAAAATTAATGAGAAAAAGTAATTTGAAAATTTAAATACCTTTTATAAGATTATATATATTATTATATATTTATTATGACACTTTTTATTTGTGCAACTTACTTGTGTTATATTATACTAATTTTTTTAATTTACAATATATAACTACATTATATATAAATATATCAATTGAGAAATAATTTTATTTTTCTAATGAATTTTAATAAATATTATTATTTTTTATTATTATAAAGATAAATATAATTGATTTATTTCATATATCCCCCTATATATTAATCCAGAACGCGCTAAGCCTACGTGGCGGCTTCTGGTGCTTCGGAATCCTATGTGGCAAAATTACATGCTTCGTTATTAGGCTTGGGTAAATTTTAATTTTATTCTAAACTAAAAATAATTAGGTTCGGATTACCATAAATATGTTGATTATTTATGGTTATGTACATGTATTAATTGTATTTTAATATCATTCCTTATTATAACTATTGAATTGTATATATATTTAAAAATTTAATAACTTCTGTATTTTTTATCAGTTTTACACATGTAATATATCAAATTAATCTTCTTTTGATGAGCTTCGATTTAACATCCATATTGTATATGTAAAAAAGTAATTTATATTTATCATTATAACAATAATAAAATTATTTTTAATATTAATTATAAAATTAAAATTATTTATCAACTAATATATTTATATTTCAAGTAGTTATAAGATATATTAAAACTAATATAATATAACACATGTAAGTCATAAATAACACATATCATTCTAAAATATATAGTAATATATTTTTTTTGTAAAAAAGTAAACTAAATTTAATATAGTTTTCTCATTAATTTTAAAATTTAAGAATAATTTTTTAACAAGCACCCGTGTAATACACGAGTGTTGTACTAGTACAATATAGATGTCAAATCGAAGATCATCAAAAGATGATTAATTTGATATATTATATATGTAAAACCGATAAGAAATACGAAAGTTATCAATTTATAAAATACATTTATAATTCAATAGCTTATTGAAGGAAACAAATCAAAATTCAGGGATATATTAGGCACTTAGTGACTCACTATGAAAAATTACAAAAAATTAAAGGGTTATATTAGTAAAAGTGATATTAAAATACCTAAGTTAGCTAAATAATATTTATGGAATACCCGAACCTAGATTATTAATTATTAATATATTAATATTATTTATCCAAACCTAATTACGAAGCATGATCTTTCGCCAAATAAGATTCCGAAGCACCAGAAGCAGCCACGTAGGCTCAACGCATTCGAGAATTATATATAGGGAGAATTGACAGGAACCAACATTGACATGAATTAAAATTTTGTTGCCCATCATCTAGCTAGTCGGGCTTTGTTGTCGACGGCACCCTCATTATAGAAGGATTGTCTCCCGTCCGTCTTATCTTTCTTTTTGGGGAGTATTTTGGAGCATGTAGCTCAGTAGATTGTTAATGTTATTGTAAATCTGTACTGAATAGCGCATCGAACTTTTTCATACTGGACCAAAACAAAATACTTAAATTAAGAATTAAAATATAATTTTATACGTGTCTTGTCCATTGTTTTTATGTCGATTCTAGTCCTAAAATATTTGAATACTTCCATAAAACTTAATACTATAGCAATTAAACTTCATATCATTAATTTAAGTGTATTATATTTTGGTTATTAATCTTATTTGGCTATCTTATAGTTAAAACGCTATGAAAAATAGAAAAAAGTTATATTTTTTGGTTTCACAAACAAATACAGTCGTAGCTAAAAACTACAATTCACTTTTACTTTCTAATTTATTAAGGGTGATTTCAAATTAATATCTTTAATGAAAAAATATACAAAATTGAAAGTCAAAAAATTTATGATTTTATTACAACTATATTTTAAATTTTCAAAAACGATTTGCTTTAACTATTTGCTATTCAATCTTAATCATTAGAAATCTCTGAATATTTAATTTTAACTATACCAATTCGAACCGTCCCAATAGCATTGAAATTTTGGACTAAACCGAAATATAGAGTTCTTTGAACCAAATCGTCCCCATTTTTTTGTACAATTCCAGAAATTAAAGTTTGACGGTCACTAATTTTTATTGCGGCTTTGGAAATTTCTAAATCTCCATACCCAATCTGATCATCACATGTTTATCCGTAGTCTAAGTGATAAAGATAATTCTTATAAATAAAAATTGTTTTTAGGAACATAGTTATCGTAATAACACAATTTAAGTTGTAAACATAAATAAGGAAATATTATCAATTATATTATATTTATAAGAACGTTGAATTCATTATAATATATATGTATAAACTAATTTTATTTATTTTTAATGGCACTATGATAGAGACGAAATTGTTTTGGCTTTTACGGACAAGCATGATCATCTATCATCTTCAGTTTAATTGTTTATTCCTTTTATTTTATTGTTATTATTTTAGTTCGTTACTAGGTAGGAATGTTATTATTATCCTAGTCATTTACATGTAGAGAAGTTAATTAATTATGGCTTTCTTAGGAGTTCTATTTAAGACTCATATTTTTATTGTTTAAGAGTTAGTTGTGAATCGTTGATTTAAGGGAATTGAGAGTTCTCTCTCAAATCTTCTAATCGTTTATGCTTTTTCTATGTCATTTGGTATCAACAGACCGGTACGACTCCTACGCAATGCCACCAAAATGGAACGACACTACGGATCTATTAAAATCTTTTTCCTTTTTATGCAAAAACTCTTCAGGCCAGCTTCAACAAGTGATTTGTCAGGCCCTAGAAGGGATTAAGGTATGTTATTCTTCTAGATATCGTGGCCTTCCTTTGGGGATTGGTAAGTCAAAGAAAGAGATGTTTAGTTTTATGTTGGATGTTGTGAAGAGTAGTCTGCTTAGTGGGGAAAATAGGTTTATGTCTCATGCTTGGAAGAAGGTGCTACTTAATTTGTTATAAATGCTCTGTCTATTTTTGTAATGTCTTGTTTTTGTCTTCCTTTTGGTATTTGTAAGGAAATCTCTCAGATGTATGACAAATTTTGCTGGTCTGGTGGCATTGATTAGAAAAAAGGAGCACACTGGAAAGCCTGACACCTGATAACTATTCCAAACGAGTCTCGAGGTTTGGTCTCCAAAATATCAAAGTTTTAATGATTCTTTGATTCTAAAACAAGTGTGGAGGCTGCTTACTAAACCTAACTTACTGGTTTGCAGAATTCTCATAGAGAAATATAACCTTTCTGCTTATGTTCTTGATGCTCAAAAAGCAGATTATTATTCTTGGTTGTGGAACAGTTGGACCAGGGTATTTGTGACTATAGGCATTGCTTCATGAAGGAAGTCGGAAATGGACTCAACACTAGAATTTTAACTGACCCTTAGGTGCTGGGGTTGCCAAATGATTGCCCTCAGTTGAAGAAATAGAGCCTTCTACAACAGAGGTTGTGGGTAAAGGATTTGCTTAATGATTAAGGTCAAAGGTGGGATTCAGAGCTGTTTCAACACTTATTTACTCCTGAGTCCTACATTGCCATTTCCAAATCAACACACTGGACCCTGCAACACATGATAGATAGATTTGGTTGTTGCATAAGCATTATGTTGCTTCTTCTGACTCTGCCACTATTCTTAAAAAAGTTCATTATTTGGAAAAAGTTGAAAGTAGTGATGCTACTAAGTGACAAAATAGCTACACTAAGGTGCTAGAAGTTAAATGTCAAAAAAAATCTGAGACACTTCATTTGGAAGTGTTTTTCTGAGTCTCTGCAGCAAATGTGAATTTGTTGAAAGAAAGAGTGAATGTGGATTGGGTCCGCCATAGTTGTGGGGAGTAGGCTAAAAGCATAGAACATCTCCTGTTTGATTGTGAAAGAGCTTAAACCGTGTGGAAAATGGCACCAACCAGGTGGAATTATTCAGAGACAAATATTCAAGACTTTAGAGATTGATGATGATGGATCTCAACTTAAGACCATTATGTTGTTTCATAGGCACACATTTAGCTCGACCTACACACTTTGATGGCTCTGGAAAGCTCAGAATCTGTGGGTTTTTCAGCGGGTGTGGATGTCGAAGAGTGTTATTGTTCAAACAACTCTTAGGGAGTGGAGGAATTCTAATCTGTTGGGCGATGAGCTGTGACTGGAGTGAAAGCAGAGGGTGCTAGGTTCTTATGTTCAGTGGTTTTTTTTTTCCCCATTGTCTATTTTTTTTCGGAACGATAAATATATTATATAAAAAGCACAAATGTGCGGAAGCCACCAGCTGAATACAGACAAAACAGCTGAATACAGACAACCAACAGTTGAAAAAAGTGGGAGGACAGGTCAGAAGACTGCCTAGAGCCGACCCCAACAGGATAATACTCGGGAACACTAAAAAAACACAAAAATTAAAAAAACATGAAGGCCTCAACAGAGTAATACCCGAGTGTCAGACCCCAACAGGATAATAAGGTGACACTTGGGCTCACAGAGGCCAACGATCCAAACGTGAAACACAGACAACACAAACAAAAACAAACAAGCTAAACATAAAAAGAAAAACTACTAACTAAAAAACACGGCCTCCCTCAGCAGAAACAACCGAAAGACAACAGACAAAGTTGATTCCGAGAAGAGCTCCAAAGCTCAGATACCCCGTCCGCCACTGCAGAAGGCCTAGCAAGACGA